TTTAATTACATACACTTCGCTTGTCATAGGACAGGCTCCCAGTTACCTGACAACAACGGCTTCATATTATAATAGGTACCAAAACACAACGCCTGGGGAAGTGGCCATCCGATGGTGCCCGGGCCACGCAGGTATTCTGGGAAACGAAGCAGCCGACGCGCTTGCCAAAGCCGCTTGTGCGGCTCCAGCTCTACACTCGGTATTCTCTATTGCGAGGGCAAGAAGGGAAGTCGAAGCCCAGTACGAGGCTTCTGTTGCACTTTACTGGGCAGAGAATTCTCCATCTAGATATAAAGAATTAGGAATTGGTCCTAATACTAAGGTTACTGCCGAGCTCGCCTGTCTAGGGCGACGCACACTAGGATATCTATTAGCTGCACGGTCTGGACATGGCGATTTCGTAGACTACCACCGACGGTTTCAGCACGAAAACGCCATTCTAACCTGCTCATGCGGGGAAGAAAAGTCCCCCAACCACTTTTTCTATTGCCACCTTTGGCAGTACCGGGCACAGCTCCACAGAGCATAGAATCCTGGTCCCAGCATGTCTTGGGCTCTGGCTTTCGCGGAGGGAGTTCACGCATTTAATAGCTGGGTGCGTCTCGCAAATTTCTTTGGAAAAGCACAACAAGTCTGACCGAAAGGGAATCATGTGATTCAACTAAGTTCCCCCTTCTATATTGTTTATTTAATCTATTCTTCATTCAATACAATCTGAATACATGAGAGTTGAAGGGTGACCGGTAACCATTTATAATTTAATCTTCAAGTGCAGGATGATGGGATCCTGGCTTTCATTTGCTTTGTTGGGTTTGTTCAGGCGCCAACACGTCGGGTAGTTTTATTTAGACTGAGCTAACCGGCACGAGAGGAGCTCACGTGCTGTGCGCGGGTACGAAGTTAAGTAAAATAAATAAATATTATGATAGGTACATGATTTGGGAATGTACACTTGCGCTGTAAAAGCTAAGATAGTTTGTGGGTAGATATCTTAATTGATGTGCAGAAGTGAAGTTACTATGATAATTGTTGTGTTACAGGTTGGAGGAAGATCGTCCCTTATCCCCTAGCTTATTCGCTTGTAAACCGATCACGTAACCAGTGTGCAGCGCACCAAAATATGCTCCCAAGTGAGCAACTATGTTATTTGTCCTATGTCAACAGCCCTTCTCTCAAACTGCGCACAGTACTACATATGATGCCGTTATGTAGAGACTGGATCACCTTCATGCACCATACTGCCATAATAACTACATATAAACCAGCTACTAGATCTACCATACTTCATAGCTGAGCATAACACCATACAGCTCCCCTCAAACAGTACCGCCCCTCACAAGTCCTCATTCGATCATACACTTAGAGGAGCCCTTAGCCCTTCATTATCTCCCCTCTCCAGCCAACAAAACGATGGCCATTTGCGGCTGTATGGCAGCCGGGAAAAATCGCAAAAACCACTGGGTGCGGAGCTCTCCTAATACCGACATTAGGACTAAATCCGAAGACATAGTGATCCTTCTGAAGCGTTCGAAGAGGCCGGCCAGCTGGGCGCTGCAGACTTGTGGGTACCTTGGAGAATTCGCACTCTACCTTTCTAGCCTCCTTCCAACTCCTTCCCGAAGGTCGTGCTGAAATGTCAGAAAAGTCTTGACAGAGCGTGATTTCTGTATAGTTGCTTAGTCCAACTTCTTTGGTGCCGTCCAGGGCGCTGGGGAGTGCCGTTGACTCATCGACAAAAGAAGCTCTCATGGCTAATTAGCCGAAATCTCAGTCTTGGCGCCCACAAAAAATCCAAAGTTGAAAACTCCTCGAAAATATCAGTCCCAGCATGGTCTCCAGAGACCTGTTCCCCCTCTCGCTCCACTTCTCAGGTGCCTGTTCTTCCTCAAGTTGTTTGTCCCATTAGAGCAATAGTCCCCCATAAGCCAAGATCCAGGCTTTGTATTTTCGACTTGATTTCCTCCTTGCGGGTATAAATAGCATCGTAAATATGTAGTGAGAGATGGCTGGAGATTAATGGGGCAAGCTCCTGTATGCAATTGGAGCAACTTCTTTATTGGTCGTTGAGGCGAGATGATGCGTGGTTAGAGATGGGTTGAGGACTCGGATGAGTATGGTAAGAGAGGCATTGTTGAGAAGTCGTCAAATGGAGATGTGCTCGAGGTTGCTTTCGACTTCGATTCGGATACGATTCTTCTTGGCTATCCTAGATATGCAGAGCATACTGAGCGATTACACCGGCACCACTGGAATGTGAAGATTTCGTCTTTGCCGGCAGCAGTTACGGTTACAGGTGTGTTGTTTAGTGACGTTGTTGAATCTCGTCATAAACGGAGTTTTATTCCCCCACTTTCCGAAAGCAAGTGCGCCAATTTTCGAGCCCAAAATTCGAGGGATACCTGTGGGAGGGTGTTAGGGTCCACCGGGTCGGGACTGGTGACGGACGAGCTGGTAGGGAGAGTTAAGTTTAATGTACTACTTGAGTCTATGGCTATCTAGCACATTGGACTCCTGTCTGGCCCAGGACACACCTTGTAAAATACTCCTATCCTCTTTTGTTACTTGTAAAATTATTGATATATTGCCCTTGATAAATAGCCATTCAGCTTAGTGGTTACCCGTGGAATTCCGCCACCTTTTCCACGGAACCTTCTACCCAAAAAAAAAGGTAGCAATGGAAACTGCGTGCGCGGGAAAAAGTCTAAAAACCCCTGTAGCCCCAGCCAGGCGAGGCCTAGACATCGGGAACACATGGGGTGCGCGTATTCATCTATATCTCCCTTCTTTGTAACAGTCGAGGCCAACTTGATCCAATCCACCATCTCCGTATCGGGTGCTGGGTACGCTCCGGAAACTCATCGTATGGCATGTCCTCCATAATCAAGGGTTGGTGATGAGTAGGGCTCCGACCCTACCGTCTGATCTGATCGTGGTTAGCTTCATGATAATAGTGATAGGGGAATGTGTTGAGAGATGAAGACGATACAGACCGCGAAAGCGTTTGGGAATCCTTGTCGAAGTGAGGACTTTGTTACTCAATCTCGACTCTGCAGGCTATTCAGTGGAAGCTAGGAGTTCGTAGAGGACACCACTGACAGGTTTTGAGAATAGTACCCATCTCTCTGATCAGCAGTTATTGGAAACCCCTCCATTTATTCAATGTAATATCAGATTGGGTTGAAAAAGATATGAAATTTATAGATAATCTGTCATATGTATATGATAACTAAAAAAACATGAATGGATCATTATTAAGCGACCAATTGTGGTAATAGGGTCCAGCTTAATAATGAGGAGATTCCTTTGAAGAATTGATATGAAGTTACCCCTGTGAATTAAATTGGCACTCCCATAAGTTTGATTAAGCACGTAGGAAGTTGAGAACAGAGAGCGTGTCTTCGTTCGATGCTGGTCATGCTTCTGTCAAAATAATTTGTTTCCGTACAGATAACCACTCCTTTACGTAGATATTCTGCCCCCGTCATAGTTGGACAGTCCGTTTTTGGTGCCCACGGTGAATCATTGGCCAACAGCATTTCTGTATGGTTACATGTCTATACTGATTGATTTCTTTATCCGCAAATCTGTTATTCGTTCACGAAGCTTCGTCTGAGCTTTCTGCAGTTTGTTTGTGATTCAGTAGGTCTTAGATGCTGTATGTCGCTAATATATACAATTTATACTACACAGTTCGCGCAAGAAACACTTGTCCCTAGAGAGTGATTGGACTAGTCTATACCAGCCCATTCACTGCTTTGAGCTATTTTTTCACATTATGCCTCCAGGTCTCTATAGACTAAGATTGAGGCACTACTTTTGCTGCGGCTTTGATAACTGAAGTTTGTTAAATTGCCTCTGCCAGGCGGCTGACCATGCTTAACAATCTTATGTGGCTATCTATCTTAGACCTTTGGTTTTCTTTCCACAGTATGTCCATTATATGAATTTCGTCAATATCCTGAGGATTCTTGCCCTAATTTCTTCTAAATTCTATTTTATAATAGTAAAGTTGTTAGATTCTTTACCTTCTTCAATAAGATTCAAAAATCCAAGATTAAAGCTTGCCTCACAATGTTAGTATTTTCGGATTCATAATGTTGACTGCGGCGTTTCCCCAGAGTGCCGAATACACATAGACCTCGGTATGTTTTCTTCGCTTCTATTGAACCAAAAATTAAATTATGTTATTCTAAATTTTTAATAACTCTTCTCGGTATAAATTTGTTACTCTATTATCATATTGCGTACCGATATTTTGCTGATTAAGGCTCTGTAACTGACGTGTAACTTCTCGTGGTTGGTACCCATGATACCTTTGTAGATAAGCCTTTTTATCGGGATCTTTGAGGTACTTCCTAACAATCTCCTCTTACACCATAATCCTCCCTTCGATTAGTACCATTTTTCAGGATAATGTTTCCAAGGCTTTCTCCTGATTGTTGAAAGCCTTCATGGTTTTGCTGACCGAATTCTTTACTTTGTCCAGGGCTAGTAGCCTAATTTCCTGAAGTGTTTTCCCCATTATTTCTAGATTCTTATTCATTAAAGGTTTCTGTCCGCCATTTCCTAGGTTGTCGTGAGCCACTTTTACTGTTCATAACGAGTAAGGACCGCTGAATTTATAAACAATATATTTCACAATCAATGTGTTGTACAATTGGTTGAAAGAGAATAAATCAGTACCACATAAATAAAAACTGGATTCACGATTTCAATTATATTTTGAAAACTGTGGGGAATTCGATCTTCTTTTTTGCTAATGTTATCAAATTTTATCAATATCAGTTGAGGTCAAGTATGATAAGATAATGAGAGATCTCCAGTCGTGGCTTTTATGCCTATTGTAGATTTGACATTATGTTGGAAATTACCTATCAAAATACTCGGAGTAAACCCTTAGATCCGTGATTAAAAAACTGCATTAATATCACCTTGAACAATTGTATTTATATAGTTCAAAATTTTCTTCTTTGAATTCAAAGATTTCGAAGATAATATTTTTATGTCAAGTCTAGGCATTGGCAGTCGTCCTTGACGCCAATACCCCTTGTATACCCACTTAACAGGCTTGGACATCGGGTGGCTATACGTTTATCTGTCGCACACTGCAAAAGAAGGCTCCAGACACGCTCAAGAGAGAAGCCAAATGAGGGATTACTCCAGTCTTCCTGATTTTGTTCTGACATTGTAACATTATCACCATGCTCGCCGGTAACTTGACGTAAAAGATTCTGGTAAATATTTTTCTGAATTCCACGAATACGTCTTGCACTCGCAATAAATTGGCCTTTGTATGAGAGTAAAATTTTGGTATTAGGTGTACAAGTCTGATGATAAATCAATTGATAGATTTCAGGCATCAAGCTTAAGTCATCCTGCCATCCCCAACGATCACCACACTCGCCACAAAGACAAGCCTGCCCTACAAATCCAAGGCTGAGCATTCCTGTTTCTTGGACGAGATAGTCATTAATCCGTGGTATAATTTCTCTGGAGTTGTGAGGATGAGCCTGTAAGAAAAGCGTTTGTTCAGCTAGTTTGTCCCAATTGTTGACAATATGGTGAAGATATGTACCTCCTTCTCGACCCTTGTTAGGTAGAATAATGACCTCATCAGCGCCAGCTTTCAAGAGTATTGATGAGGTGTTTGGGGCCGGGGACTTTGTGTATATGATTGTTCGAGTGGTGATCTTTTTTAACATTCTCGTCATCTTTATTTCTCCGATAACTGAGGCAATCGATAAAGGATCTTCATTATACATGCTTACTACGATATCAAAACGATTTTTTGGTCTGTAATCATAATCGAGCTTTGCCAATGGTCCCTCCGGGAGTGAGTCGAGAGACCATGTGTTAATGGAAGATAGTATCCAAGAAAGAAGCATAACCTTTAGGGCTATTATAGTAGATACGGCGTATACGTTTATTCCTGCCGAATCAATTGACAGCATAGAGCAAATTTTCAGAGTGTTGTTGATGCTTTTCTTTATTATGGTCGAAATCTGTTCGTGGAGCGTATTCACACCTGTGACAAGGACCAAAGAAAAGAGATAAGCCATTATCTGTATAGGTGAAACATAAAAGAAAGGACCAAAATAGCTCGAAACTAGTAGTACTAGTAGGCTAGATGCAAATGAGACAGATATGTCAAGTAGACGAGTTTGTACAAATGGCGAATAAGTAGCTGAGTTAGCAAGACTAAGGGGTGCATGGAAGGATATTGCTGTTCCTAGGAAGGCGGTGACGATGATTGAAAAGTAAAAAGTAATCGTTGTGACTGTTGATGAGAATGAATATTTTTGAAAAAAACTGGGGCTTTCCAAATGAAATGCTGTGAAGCCACTGAATATCAATCCGAGAAGAAGTGTCGCCGACAAAAAAACGTGGTAATAAGAAGAGCGATCAATCTGTAGTTCTACTCTTTCGGATCCAATGATGAACCAGGCTCGAGAAAGTCCTGCAAGTAGTAGACCTCCAACTCCCCAAGCCAAGCCGAGCACATTTAATCGATAATCATTGTCAAGAACTATTGCTGATGCGCCAATGCTAAGGAATATCTCCCAAGTGCAAAGATTTCTGAAACGGTCTTTTGATCGGCAAGTAATAAGAGTCAGTGATTCAATTGCGCGTACGGTGGGCTAGTAATGAGTTAGCATTTTTCACCTGTTGTGTTGCAAGACCTACGAATAACATAGATATTATTGGTAGACTTGGTATGTGGAGCGAAGCTTGGATCAGCATGGGATATGATAGTGCAGCAGCTAGCGATGCAGGAATTAGGAAAGTCCATTGTTGATAAGTGAGCCACTTTTTCCCTGATGGCAGCATACAACTGAGGCCCAAGAAATTTCCAGCCAAACTTTTAGGATATTTAAGTATAAATACATAGACTATTAAAATCAAGATGTAGCTTCGAAACGCTAATGTCAAAGCTGTCCAAAATCAGCATTTATTTAAGGAGCCTTGGGGTTAGCTTTAAACCTACGATAATCTAAAATGTTAGCGGTATGCTTTGCAGAATCATATACTTCAACTCACGAAATCTATATGTGGATAGTAGGAGCTTCAAAGTGTACTGAGCTACTGCAGAGCAGAAGGTCCAGGTTCTATTCACATATGGTCAATATTCGAAGCTGTAATTAATGCGTGGAATCTTACACTGCCTTCCAAAAATTATAAGATTTAGCATAGACTAAATTTACTTCAGCCGTACTCTTCTCGATGAACGGTAGTCCTTCATAATCATTTTCTCCATGCTTGATGGTTGAAACTGGCAACATTGTTGATCAGCCCCACTCAGAAAGGAACTTTGATGTTAAGACTGGCTTGCATTCGCGCATGTCGTGGGTCGATTTAAGCTATTAAAAAGAGTTTGACCGCCGTGAAGCATAACATCAGTGATATAATCAAAGGCTGTGTTTTTGAGGTCGAACACTGCTTTCGAGCGCTCATCCGGACTTATCTATGCGGCGTTTTGATTAAACAGTTCATCTTTTCTCAGATATAGATCGGCTGAATGCGACTGATGAAGAAGTTCAGGAGGTGAACAGTTTGTTTAAAAGGCTTAGATCGTTTTCCTAGACGGATTTACAAGTTTCAACATGTAAATTGCCGATTTTTGACCGTCACGATGCAGTATTTTTTACTTCAACCATATGATTAGTGCCTCTAGTGTCCTGTCCTAATAAAAATGGTCGATAGTGATTCAGAAATGAATATCTATTCCGTTACATGTAACGAAACGTGACTAGTTTTATGTAGGGGTTAGTTCTAGAACGAAGGGGATATAAAATAAAACCTCTGAGAGCAATTAATCTTTACTGCCTGTCTCTCTGAAGGCCCAGACCGATCGGCTTGGGGTATAGGATGGCACTGTCGATCGTTGTAACCCAGACCCCTCATAACTTAAAATTGATAGACGTTTTCTTTTCGTTTGTCTCGAAATTTGTGAAGCATTAATTCTTTGCACATTTGTTAGATGTACACGAAAAATAAGACACTCATTCAGACTGTCATCTAACTAGTAGCTGATCGATGAGCATGGATGATTTCATTTCATGTAGACTGAGATATAAATATGTGGCAAAATATGTGACAAAAAATATGCTCAGCGTGAACATTCCCGTTAGATAAAACAGATGTCAAATACACCAATCTATCTATACAATGACATTTTCGATCCGGAGTTTCCGTTGTAAACAACGGCAGTGGATAAATGTTGCCTGTGATATGCACATAGTATCTGGGTTAGAACAATGCCCTAATATGTACAGCGGTTATAATTGAGACACAGAAGGAGCTCGTGCACTGTTTCCATCGTTTTTGTGGAAGAGATCTCTAACAGAGGAGTAAATAGACTGTCGTAATGCTATGGATTTGTTCAACTTACCTGAGATCCGCACGCTTGGTTTAAAGGGGTTCAGAGTGTCTAGCCACCTGCTTGCGTTTACAAGCGTTGCAGATACGACATAGTTTCAGCCCTAATTAGCGCTCGGGTAAGTAACAAGTATCGTGTTTGATTTCTGCGTTGTAATGAATCTGCGGAGATGCTTTACAGCTGGATAAATGCAAGGAATCTTTTAAAGCATGGACAGATGCAAATCTCCGTGAAATAGGAACGTCACCTTCTTTCTCCCCCGTCAAATTTACTACCGACGCATGGGTCTTAGCGGGCAACACTTCAGCCTCAAACTCAGATTTGGAGCGCCATAACAATACTTCGAAAATTCCCATATGTAAAAAGCCTCTACAGTAGATCGGTTTAGATAACCCACATTCAACTCCCAGAAACCGTGGGAGGCGAAGTTCAACCCGCTAGCTCCTAAGTCATTCCGGATTTGTAGAAAATCTACATGAGAACTGAGAAGTGATAAAATTGGCAGCGGTAACGTGTCATGTATCTTCAAAAACTTTCCGAGAGTGAAATTTTCTTGTGTAACTAATCTTTCTATATATCCGTTACAATATGTTCCTCTTTGACCTAGGTCTCGCTTTGTGCTGTGCTCTTACCCTCTTCTGCAAAAGTTTATCTTTGAAATAATGCCTGTAATGTGTGGGACGAAACTTGATCCGCGTGGATGATATCCCTGTCGAACCCCCAACTCAAGCTGCGCCATGGTGCCACGGTGTCAAGTTTGCAATGTACCTTTGGCAAGGGGTTTAGCGTGAAAATAAGACGCCTTAGGCATAGTCGCCTTCCATATTGGAGTTAGCCCCGTATTTGTGCAAATTTTTGAAAAATTTTGTATGGCAGTTTTTATCTGAACACCAGAGTTTGTAGTGGGTCTTTCCTTCGTACTAAACCTAATTTGTATAATGATCGGCTGAATAACATTTGTGCATTTTTGCTATTTGACTTTATAACTTATTTACAAGAGTTCAAAGGTTTTCAAATTTGAGGGTACAGCAACCCTCGGTGAAGTCTACAAAAAGCTTCAATATATATAGCAGGATACTAGCTGAATTCAGGGTATCTGCGAACTAGTCTTTCGCTCTCAGCGGAGATAAGAAAAAGTCACGTGGAAGATGTGGCAGGAAAGGGAACGGGCGAGAAGCGCGGGATCCGGACCAAACAGTATTTCTTCCAAATTTGATTTCAGTTTTTGATTTATGTTTTTGATTTTAGTTTTGCTGTTAACTTTTACAATTTCAGTAGAAGTTCATGCGGTTGGAATGAGTTGGGCCTGTAAGCAGTGATCCTTGCCTGCTCCACCGGTCCTTGACCCAATGTGGAAAAGATAGCGTTAGCTTAGGACCAAATGTAAAAAAAAAAAAAAAAAAAAGGGTTTCAAATTACAAAATAGAGCCAGTCTTATCTTGACCTTAGATCTGAACATGTGGCTGGAATATCTTCAGGCCTTAATATCTGGTCGGTCCCCCATCCGCATCTACCACAGCCTGACATCTTGCTGGCATACTCTGAATGAGTCTCACAAGATATTCGGAAGACACGGAATCCCATGCCTCCTTTACAATGTTGCGAAGACTATCTTGAGTTTGCTGCTTTCCGCAACCCAGATTCGGATGATGACGCTGGGTGTAATCCTTCATCTTATTCCAAACAGCTTCAATTGGGGTAAGATCAGGCGAGTTGGCCGGCCAGAAAATCGGTTGAATAAGCCCCAACCTCATCCATCTTCCATTGTAATTGCGGCTGTGTGGGCAGGAGCATTATCCTTCACTACGGAAAGCCAAGATCTCATCGAGACCATGCTATCGATAAGAGGAACTATCTTCTCGCAATAATTTTTGGGAGTTAATGGAACCCCATTCCTTCTCCCAAAACAAAAAAGGGCCTTTTTCTGGCCCTACGAAGCAACCCCAGAACATCCATCCGACCTTATTCTTCGATTTTTCTCCAACACAATCAGCGTTGTATTCTTGGGAAGTCTAGCTCATAATGTTAGAGCATCAAATTACCATCTTCTTATTGAGGAATGTACGAACACTTCTGGTCTTCCATCCTCTACCCAAGTTTCGTCTATCCATAAAACTGACGTCCAGTTTTCATATGTCCAATTGAGATGAGCTTCGGCCCATTCTCTGCGTATCTTCATAGTTTTCTGAGATACTGGAGGCTTTGGACGAGCTACATGTCGCTGATATCTTCTTTTTTTACGTTCTCTTTTTATTACCCACTCGCTAACTCTTAGGAAAGATAAGTGAGTCACGGTATTACGTTGTAAATATTGACCGAAGAGCCCTATAGCTACAGATGAGGAGGGCAAGACTGAACACCTGTACGCGGTGTCCTCTACGAACCTGGGAGTGAAATATTCTCCCAGAGCCAAGTTCAGTCAAATTTCGCAATATCAAAGAAGTTGGCCCACGAGGCAAAAATTCAAATTACTCCACCATGTCAATCTTTCACTCCCAAAGAGTCCGATTCTCAACTAAGCTTCATCAAGTCTATAAGTATGACCTAGTACATCCTCATCCTAATGACCATACCTCTCGTCGACTTTCTCTGGCCTCAGTTGACCAGCAAATACACGCCCACGCCGATATTTATACCCGACGGAGGAAGCAAAGCGTGGAGCACAAATTTGGGAGATAGCTCTCTGGGATGGACGTGAGAGGGATCATGACAAGATGACAAGATAATGTAAAGGAAGGATATTATCTCGAAGGGCGTGAAATCCCGAATTTTGGCTAGGAGTTTTACGAATTGAGCTTTGTGCGCGCCAAGACTTCGCCTGCGAGAGTGCAGCTGACACTATAAACACAAGCCAATGATGGAAGGTGTTGTGATCCGCCTCCTGGTGGTGTTCTCTGGTATAGTTTGAGTAGACTGGGCACCTACTCCACTTGGGAAGGAGACGTCTCTGACCAAATTTCGCGCAGAGAAAAATCAGTGGATGATGGAGGAATGTCTGGATAACTCAGGGTTTTTGAGACGTTCCCCTGGGTGTATATTCACGGATGAGGGTTGATTTGGGGTGAAGAAAAAGCCACCATAACTTCGCAGTGGTACTTGCAAATGAAATCCGAGGCATGAGTGCTTCTCTTGTAAATTGAGTCATCTTTTCTGTACATTTCTTTGATATTGTGTCATAGCTAGATAGCTGCATACTTGTAAGCAGACTTATGCTTGCATAAGTCTGGATCCAGTCCAAAAGCGAAAGCACGATCTGCGTGCAGGCATGTCAGACTAGTAATGATGATCAGAGGCATCAATAGGGTAGAACTAGATATTATAGTGCTACGATGGACTCGTAGCACGGAGACAATCAATCAATTCATTCTTGTATTCGCTTTTACCTTTTGACGATTCACGTGAGATTCGCACGAAGACCTCTAAGTTTTACAATACTCAATTAAAATCTGATGCAAAAAAAAGAAGCGAGGCGAAAACACCGGGACCATATGACGACCGAATACCTTTCTACATTTCCCTCCTTTGTAAGATTTGAGGCAATCTTTAACTACCGCGCCAGGACATTATGGGGTGCTGAATACCCTCCGGAAACTCATCTGATGGGTTTCATCTATTACCAAGAGGGGGTTTAGTTGACCGTCGGCTTCATCCTCTGATGCTATAATGGTTAGCATCATGATTTTGGTGCAAGAGTGATTAATAGACATAATGAGTGGGAGTATTGCACACAAATAAAGTGCTTTATTAATATGGTTTGCTTGACATTATCATGAAATGATAGTGATATGTGCCGCGAAGCTGATCGGGAAACGTGAGCACTGTGGACACCAACAATAGTCATTGGGTCGTACCGAGAACGTCTACAATTTGGTTTGTAGAATTCATGGGTTTCACCACTGAACCATGAGGGCTTTAGAATCAGGACACACGCATCAATAATTTAGTATCGAAATTCCTTGGTATTGCAAAATCGATTCGGAGATTCATTTTGACTCCCAGGTTCACAGAGCAAACCGCGGATAGATGTTCAATTTCCATCCTTTTTAACAATATATTGAGTTACTGGTTCCACCACACCATTGAATGCCTCTCAGATGTAGATTTTTCAACGTTTGTGCATTGTTGAGATGGGTTATTTTTAACTGCTGGATTAAGTGGGAAGGACTTCTAGTCTAGTTATTACTATTAATAAATATAGTCTATTAAGCCTGAAACCTTGCAATGACTAATTTTCATGACATGAGTCGTCATGTACTGGCAGGATAGTATTTCATGCAACAGCGACGCCGATTCTACTACACGCACTAACAATTTCATCCCACTTCATCGCGTATGAGCTAGAATGTGCCTTATATTTACGTGTGGTGATACAGGTATATTTATTAAACATCTTATCTTGTTCGGCCGTTTTAACAACCCTCCAGAGTTCTCGAAACAGCTTCGCGGATACGAAAACGTCATTTGCCAGTGTCATAATTGCGTAAATCACCATCCTCGCACCTTCCAAATTACGGCTTTGAGCTTACAATACTAGGGCAATTTTGCAGCTCGGGTTACCAAGCGTAATCCCTGGTTTACCTTCTGTTTTGTTCCTGTTCTTCCACTTAGTATTCACGGATATGAGGATATAGTCTGTCCAGTTTGCAGATTCGCACAACCTCTGAGTAGCCGTCCAGATGTTGTGGCAATGAATGGACAAGGAGGTGGTATTCCGTTGCAAGATGTACCTGCTCCTGGCCAGCCTCCCGGAGGTGTGGGCGGACCTCCTCAATTTAAACCAAATATGCAGTATGGATAAGCGAGTGCTTTAATCTCGGAAAATATGCGATTTATAACCCAATAAGGATTTTGCACTAGAATAAAGTCGACGTACCTATCGCAGAATATTTATCCGATGCTACATCTACAATTGACCCTGATCCCGTGTAAGCTTTTTCACAGCTCTCTGAAGAAAATCCGATATCTAACGGGAAATGCAAGTCGCTCTATGGAACAAAATGAGTTTAAGGTTCTAAAAGCACCGAATGCAAGAGGAGTGAATGCGGTACTTAGGTCATATCCTTGACAGTCTGCTTAGACGCAGGGGAATACAAGGAAAAAACTCTACTTGAACTGTTGACCAGAATTTCCTTCTATTTGGGTTACAAGTTAGCGAATTTATGATTATTTATTCTGGAGAATATGTATGGTGGTATTCACTTGACCTATGAATCGGAGTTTGTGGAAAGCTGGGAAGTGAGACGGAATTGACCGGAAGCGGAGTCAGCTTTGGGAACTCCGATGAAAGAGATTTAGTGTCATCAGTTCCTAACATGGGGTTAGCATTGTTAAAGCATTCAAAAGTCAAGTAGTCTAGACTATGTACAAAAGGTAAGATCGGAGTTTTGGGATTTGATGTATATATGTAGAGATGAGACATATCTCGAGGGACACGCATAAGAATTTCCCTTCTCAAACATCCTGATTGGGTCTATTTGATTGACATGAACTGAAGTTTCGACTAACGTGACATCTGAGTGTTGTCTGGAGTATATTCCAGTGCTCAATAACAGATAAAATTAATATTCATTGGTATTCGAACTCTGTAACCCCAAATTACTGTTAATGGAGGTTGTGGCTTTCTGAGTCGGTGAACGGTCACATAGGGGGACTATTCTTAACACCTATCAGTGGTGTCCCCTACGAACCACTAGCTCTCACTGTAGTATCTGCAGAGCCGAGATTGAGTAGCAAAGTCCTCACTTCCTTTTTTTTATTTTTTTTTGCATCAGATTTTAATTGCGTATACAGCTATCTAGCTATGACACAATATCAAAGCTAGAATTCCTGAATATTCATGAGAGAATCAATAAGATACCCCATTACCATTACCGTCCCCCTCCGACTCGCATACAATTACACTAATTCGAATTCTCACAGTAGCAAGATCCCGGATCTCCAATATGTCTCCGGGGCCTGCCAAACCATCGCGACCTATTCGCCATCAAAGAACAATTGATAGAGCGAATACCAGGCTGAAAAAGCGCTTGGCAAAAAAGAACATACCATTGAGCTCGATAGACGAGCGAAAAATGGAGTCGGAAATGACCGAGAGGATAAGAGCCTTTGAAGAAGATTCTAACTCCACAAACCCAGATGTTGAAATGGGTGATGCGGTTATTGACCGATATATCATGGAGGGGCTTGAGAGCTCACGATGGAATGTCAGTGAACCCGAAGACGGTCAGGTCTCAGAGGCCCTCGTTATTACAGACACGAGGAAGATTGCTGTGCCGGCCATGAAGCGGACAGCTAATGTTAACTTAAAAAAGGCCGACGAAACCACGTCAACTACAGCCCCTCAGAACCCCATTCCGAGGACAAGTGGAAATAATCAAACTTCTTGCAGCGATGGCAACCCCAAGAACACTGCGACTTGTCCTCCCGAGCTTCGAGCCATACTTGAAGCCGAAGAACAGCGAGCGACCCAGACCGCAACTAATCTCACAACATGCACCGCTGCTATCAATGGTGTGGAGAATGCGCTCTCACCTCTATCCAAGGGGTCAAGCGTTCAATTTACAGACTCCATGAAAGTCTACCTCCGAGCTGCAATAGCTCAATTCATGATGTCGGGACCAGGAACAGTCCTTCCCAACCTCCCCCCACGACCAAACTGCCAGAATCATGGCGGAAAGATCATTGAACAAACGATTGAAAAGCAGCCAGAGCTGCTACAGAAAGCGACCCAGGTCAAGGTGACCCAGGTCAAACCTACCTGGGCAACAGTTACCCGAACTGGCCTTCACACGCCAGCAGCACCTGTGAAAGATGTACGGGTCCATAAAAAACCCCCGACACCAACGAGACCTCCGGCAAAAGTTAAGAAAACTGGCCCCAAAGATGATCGTTTGTTTCTTCGACTCGGAAAAGAATATGCTTGGCGCGCACTCTCGCCGGCCGGTGTCCGAGATGCGACAGCAAAATTGCTCGAGATACCCCCGCAGAATATTGATTATGTATACCGTGTTCCGACAGGCTTTGCACTCCGAGCCAAAAACCTGGAGGTACGACAGCTCCTTCTGAACTCCGCTGAGTCTTTCGTCCAGGTAAACGCAATCCTGGAGAAGGCCTCGGATTTAGTGGCCCTTCGTATTGCGACAATTCCCGTCGCAATTCACACACTCCTAGGTAAAGTAGTTGTCACCGACGAGATGGTGGCCGAAGAAATCGCCAGGGTCACTTCAAAGGTTCCGGTAAGGGTCCGCCCTCATGGAAAAGGAAGAGTCGGAGCCCCATACCAGACATGGGTAGCTCATTTTGAAAGAGCGTCCGTCCCTAGACCAGGCTTCCGACTATTTGACGACTCAGGAATCGCTGTTCGCCATCAGCCACGCCAAACTGTGAGCCAATGCAAGCGATGTCTCTTATACCACGGGACCCAGAGTTGCTCGCGCGCCCCAGTGTGCTGGAACTGCACCTCAACAATGCACTCCACTTCGGAATGCCAAGGACACACCAAGTGCCGCAACTGCGGGGGTTACTCACAGATCAGACAGCCGAAACTGTCTGGCCCGCCCTAATAAGTCCGGAACGGCTTCTAGAGAAACTCTCGAAAAGATCAGGTACGCTAGCCAATGCGAATATGCCGCGGTGATCCGGGCGAAAACCGCCGTTCGACGAGCAGAGGCCGATATCGAAGCCGCCACTGAGATGGCCAAAATAGCTACGCCGAACTACAGCTCCCATAACAGCTACGAGGTTCTAATGACGGATGAGATGCCAAACGTGACTGAGGTCACAGAGGCGGTCGTCCCGAAAAATCACTCATAAAGGGCGCCCCACGGGCCCCTTTCCGCCTCCCTCCTACTCTAAGTTTCATATCAATAAACGTAGGTAGAGGAGGTCCAACATAGAAAATTGCACTTGCCCGAGCATTCGAGCTGAATATTGACGTAGTCCTAATTCAAGAACCTCGGTGGAAAGAAGAGACAATGTCGCATCCTGGATACATTTGCCATTTACCTCATGGTGGCGAAAAGGTCAGGCCAAGGGCTGTGACCTACACCCGGAAAGATGATAGGACAATATCAGCGAGGCAACTCTTCCCCTGTGCTAAGCTGACGGGCGACTATTGCTGGGTGCTTGTTAATGGAGTCACTTTCCTCAATGTGTACAAGGCACCCAGAGACACATCAGCCGTACAGCCACTTATCAATTGGACCCCGCCGCCGAACTCAGTCGCTGCGGGTGATTTCAATTCGGTGTACTGTGCCTGGCAACCAGGAGTCACGAGCCCCTACGGGCAATGTGAAATGATTGAAAGATGGGCAGAAGATCACAATCTAAACTGCCTTATTGTTGGAGAGCCCACGCATCAAGCTGGAAATACCCTGGACCTTGTCTGGATCAACATTAATGGCAGCCGTGCATGGGTCGACCATGATGAATGTGTCGCCAGCGACCACCTTCCTATCCGAGAAATAATCCCAGTCCAGTCCGCAACATTGAGACCCAACTTGGGCAAGATTCGAGTGACGAAGGAAAGACTGCCCGACTTTGCACGAGCTGTTACTAAGTTGGTCCGTCTACCGCCAGTTTTAGATACAATCGAAAAGGTCGAAGACTATGCCCAGGAACTTTGCTTAAAGCTTAAGACTGCCATCAATGCAACAGGAACTCGACCCAGAGCAAACGGCAGTAAATCAGCCCCGTGGTGGACCCCGGCGTGCAAGGAAGCACGGGCTGAATATCGAGCGGCAGAATCACCTCTCCAACGTGCAGTGTATGCTAAAAAGCTCCGATCAGTCATCAGAGCTGCCAAAAAAGAACATCAAGCACAGCAGGTGGAAAGAATGAACACGCCGAACGATGTTTTTAAGCTGATGAGAATGGCTGGGCCTAGACAGACAAACATCCCACCACCCCTCAATCACAACGGAGCTCTCATCTCTGATCCACTAGAGCGAGCCAAAGTTCTCCGTGACTGTCTCCTGGCAAGACACCAAACATCGGACGACCTGCCGCCTTGCATCGCCACGAGTAACAACCGTATACCATGGAAGGACGACATCTCCGAGGAAGAAGTCCGAGCTTGTACTATCGGCTGTGGAAACACGGCTCCGGGAGCAGACGGAGTCTCCGTACAGCTGCTAGTGGCCTGCTGGAAGACAATTGGACCCTGTATAGTCAAGCTCTTCAGAGCTTGCATACAGCTCGGTACGCATCCGACTTGTTTCAAATTGGCTGAAGTAGTACTCGTACAGAAGCCTAAAAGGGACCCAACAACTGTCAAAGGATAGAGACCAATTGCCCTTCTTTCTTGCCTTTGTAAAGGACTTGAAAGACTTCTAGCAAAACGGATGGCGCACTTAGCAGTGATTTGTGATGTAGTTGGTCGGCAACAATTCGGCGCACTCTCGAGGCGCTCAGCAACAGACCTAGTCTCCTGTGTAGTACACGATGTCGAGGAGGCGCGCACACAAGGGTGGGCGGCCACTTTCATCACCTTAGACGTACAAGGTGCGTTCGATGCAGTTCTTCATAACCGTCTAGTGAGAAGAATGCAAGAACAAGGATGGCCAGACTCAGTTCTAAAGTGGACAACTTCGTTCCTTGCACAACGAATGGTACAGGTCCGACACTCGTAAGGAGTCACGACAAAGTGACAGCTGGTCTGCGGGGTCCCACAGGGCTCGCCGATCTCGCCTCTTCTCTTTCTTCTATAAATGGTAGAGCCAATGCGGAGTGGTACTCCTAATCTAAGGTTTAGCTACGCTGATGACATCGGCATTCTTGGATTTGGCCGCACCACTGCTG